TGCTCTGTTGTCTTTCTCCTAAAGTTTGAATCACTATTTTAAGAATCATGACCTTTTCTCTATTTTTTTTTATTATTTCGATAGCTTGTGTGAAACTTTACTAATGATAAAAACTTCACTTTTTAATAATGAATTGTTATAAAGTTATAAACAAAACAATCTTTTCAATGTACTGCAAAATAAGTGCATAATTGAGTACTCTTTTATGATACATGGTATTAATTAATAGATCAGTTGTCTAATATGATTTTGTTTTTACATTATAGAGAACCCTTAGCTCTATATGCAGTAGAGTTTTGATAACTGTTGATGCAACTGTAGATGAAATACAATAACATAGTATAGCATAAAGGTCAATAATTGTTGAAAATGAGCCTAACCCAGAAGCATTATTTTTTTCGCCAAAACTAGAAATATCCAAGATTTGATTGATTGATCTAATATCCTCACATGAGTCCCAACTAAAAAATATTTAAAAGAAAAAAAATACTAGCGGGGGGGGGGGAATGGCGGAGTTCCTTTAATAGGTAACCAAGGAGCGATATAATTGGCTAATGCACATATTTATCATTATAATAAGTTTGAACGATTGATGCTTCAATAGAATAAGTTGATAACCGATACGAGTGTCAGTACTCTCGTCAATATGGTCGACCAGAAGCGACCTTTGATGCAATTTTCGATGAATGACTGCAGTATTTCTGGTGTGAGCAGATCAAGACTTCGACGAGCGGCTGAATTAAGACCTAAGTTTTACCATAATGAATAAGAGATCGACTCAAAAAAGTAAAACATAAAACTGGTTCAGCGATTAAAGCTATTTCATCAGATTCCGATGTAATACAATATTAGCTAATCTTGTTCTCAACTGATAACGGTGAAGATCTGCATGAGCTTGATTGAACTGACCCGGTAATCGCGACAGATCGATTGATCTAAAATCTGTATCGATTACTTATTGATACTAGTTCTATCTCTGGATAGCAATATTTGACATAGTTAGGTTTTGACAAAATGCCATTGCATATCCTGTCTGAGATGATAAGAGGAGAAAGTAAATAAGATAGACCATTGGTGATCATTCTACTGATAATAACCGGCGGAACAGCAGACCGATCAGTCTGGAATCTGGATCGAAACGGATTGGCTAGAAACCAGTACTGACTCTATCTCTGAAGTATTTATATTTCAATCAACAACATGAAAAGCGTGAATTAACTTTGCATTTCTTTATCGGTTTTTCCGCTAGAGCACACGATCTATTTTATACTCTTTTGGGCATGCCAGTTGCTGAAAAACAAGAGTTAAAACCAATAGATTATACTTGTTTTTTCGTCCCGAGATCCATCGGTCTGTCTTTCTGATTAAATGAGGATAAGTGAGTTAAAAAAGACGTGTAACTTTATGTTTTAGTCCATTAAGAATTGTATTGATAAATTTATTTAGATCGTCCTATGCAGCCGAACGCTAGTATGATAAACATAATTGCGATAGTAAAACTGTAAATCATACTAACATAGGCTTTTTTCTGAATAGCTACAAATGAAATGACAAACAGATACACAGACATACAAAAGTCCCACTTGTAAAATCGGAAAGAAGAAACTTCTTGACGTTTCCCTTGGTTCATCCATCGAAAAAAATCAGCTAAGAATTTACTTAATGATAAACAATGTGAATCCGATTGTTTTATATCCTTCTTTGTATATGTTATTAATATGTTCTCGTTCTGTTTTGATTTCGACAATATTTTTTCAGACGGTTTCTTCATCGAGGAAATATTTTGATTTTTAAGTCCGACTTTTGAGGTGACGATCCATTGTTTTGCAAGATTGAAATTGAACAATCCAGATATCAATGCACTGGTATGATGTACGGACATTGCACTTGTAAATATATGGTATGGTAATGCTAAATAAATCCCATTTGGTGTAAACGCAGCATCAGAAAAGGCATGGAACATTGAAATATAAATACTGATCGTAGTGTAAATGTTCCAATGTGGCATCCATAAGCCCGCGGGTATGATCATAAATAGTGAGATGACGTGGAATAGATATATAAAGTTTCGAAATATATAGACTAGAGACATTAGTTTTTTTAACAGAGAAATATGCTTTGCTCGACAAACGGCACCGATCGATTTTCGAGTTACTTGCATATAACCACTTGTCCACCGATGCTGTTGGGACATGTATGCAGATAATCTTGGAGGCAGCTCACTAAGACACTCAACATTCTCCATGTATACCGCACGCCAACCGTTTAAATGAGCTCGCAATGCTAAGTCTAAATCTTCGACAACCGTATCCGTATGCCATCCACCAGCTTGTTCAATGGCCGATGCTCGCCAAACGCCACCCGTACCATTGAAAGTAACAAATAGTGAAGCACGAGATCTGCCCTCTTGTTCGCATTTGTGGTGAAAATTGAGATTAATTTCTTGTACACGAGTTAAAAACGATTCTTTAGCATTAGTGTATGTCCATCGAGCTTGCACAAATGCAACATTTGAATCATGAATCAGAATAGGCAGTGTTCTTAACAGATAATCTTTAGTCGGTAAAAAATCAGCGTCGAATAAAACTATGTATTCAGCTTGAGGAATAAACGACCTACCATTGATAAGACCTCCCGCTTTGAATCCTTGTCGATGTATTCGCCGAGAAATACCTATTTGCACTCCTCGATAGATCCAGTTTTGCACACATTCGTCAACAATCGCTTTTGCTTCATCATTGGTCGAATCGTCTACTACTTGAATGAAAAGTCGATTTCTCGGCCATTCTAGATTGCAGGCGCATTCAATGATGGATTTACAACACTCGATTTCATTCATCATTGGCAGTTGAACAGCGACCAACGGATAATCAAATTCAGTTGCTGGTGATGGTAAAACATCATTCAATGTCGGATGAGAGGTAGCCGATAAATATAGTCGAAAATAGATATGAACAAGACGGGTTATGTACACTGCTATGTAGATAATAATAAACACGATCATCATAGTTTCAATAATAAATAGTAATATATATTGAATATCGTTATCAAGGAAAACAATTGATGTCTCTTCATAACTATAATTGTCGCTTGATGTTATTGAAGACATACCTTATATAAGCACAAATTAAGATCAAAGTCTAATAATCAACGTTCTATATTCATAGTCATATTATCTAGAACCAAGTCAATGATGGAACACTGAACACAAACGTTTGTGTGAGAATAGCAACAACATATAAATACATACGCACCTTGTATATGAAACTCAGAAGAGCAGAAAGCAAGAAAAGTTACTGAATCCAAAACCATCTTAAAATATACACATTTACAAACGTATGGGAAAAAATTCTTTACATAGAATCAACGAAAATAAGAGACCAAAAACTCATATACGCCAAGTTGTCAATCCGATGAGAAAAAATATGTCAAGTAAAACCGCGCTTGTAATTTTTTTGATTTTCTAGTGATCGACACGATTTTGCTGATGGAATGACATAAATAAATCCCTTATAAACGAAAAAAAAACAAATTTCCCATCTCCGAATCCCTCGAAGAGAGTACACGCATAGGATTGCAGGAGGAGGGTCTACAATTTTTATTTTTTATTTTTGAAATTTTTATTTCCAATATTCATGTTTGATTTATGCATAAAACTGTACAAGAGTCTAGAAAGATCTAATCTTCATTTGAAAAATGAATTTTTTTATTCGCACACCTCTCTGAAGCGGTCCAAAGGCCGAAAATTTTTTTTTTCGTTAATGAAGGAGTTATTTACATCAATTCATCAGGAATGTCGTGCTCATTATTGGAAAATAAAATCTTTGAATTGGACCATTGAATATTGTTCAAATATCCTCCACATACTAGCCGCTTCATACAGGCAAATAGACGATTCTATTGAGCAATCTTGAACATTGACCTTAAGCTTCTGCTGTCCCAAATGATGTTACCGGAAGATATACAGAGCTGCATAATGTGTAATTTTTGAGAATATTTCACGTTGGTACTCATTTTTTTCTGTGATACAGAGTTGAAGACACTGGAATCTTAGACAGTCAAGAAAAAACTAGACTTAGCAAAAGGGACTATTTTTAACTATGAAGAAGCAAGCAACAATGAAAACTATTGACTATAGAAAATTGAAGAGCATCTATAACTGTATTGAATTGAGTTTAACAATAAAATTTGAATATAATTATCCTAGAACTTCTTAGAGATCACAATGAAAATTTGAGGAAAACTTGATATTTTTATATATCATTCGATGCGCCACGAATTGCTCTTCAAAAGCATATATGATATCGTGGTTCAAGATAGGCCACCGAATTCAGCAAGGTCTTTTTATCCATGTCTTCCGTATTTACGGTGAACGCATAATATCATAAAAACTTTTGAGGGCCGGACCATTGTCATGATTCTCATAAATCTACTCTGCAATAATTTTTCGAAGACTTGACAAGGCTCTGTCACCCTCGACCTGTCTGCACCACTCGCACCATTAGATTGACTTACAGCCCTTGATAAACGTAGCTACCACTCTTTGGCAATGCCACCGTTTCGCATCACTTTTGCTTGATATTTGAAGTTAGTGCTTGTCTTATAGAGACCAAAACGAGTCAAAAAAATTCAACTCGACTCGGCTCGACTCGACATGTATCTAAAAAACATCTGACTCGGCTCGACTCGACTCGACTCGGCTCGAGTCGAGTCGAGCCGCCGAGTATCGATTCAAAATCGAATGTTTAGAAATACATTCTTAATATCAAGAATGAGAAGAAATTTAGACACACATTTCACTTGTATCATAGTGTTGAAACATCCATGTCGGACTACACCAAAGGAAACCGTCAGCTTCAGGAAATTGCGACAATTTCTTGAAAGCAGTATTTGAGACTTGGAGATCTCAGATTTTTTTCTGTCTTCCCATTAAAATCCTGTCTTTGTCGCTCAAAGATGGTCGGAAGTTATCGAAAAAGTCCTTCGCTCTCTCCACTTGATGTACTGCTTCGATTTTCTATCGATTTTCGGAGGTTCTCTGTCAGAAACAGAAATTTTCTACAAGTTTTCTACTCGGTTTCAGAGCTTGGAATTATCGTCTCGAATAATTCTGAATCATTTTCTTGCGCGATTTCGGCAATACTGCAGACAGATTTCTTCTCCCCATAAATGTTCCAAGACTATTCGAAACGGTCCTATTGGATGGAATGGTTAACATATTTCATCGATTTAAATATTCTAAATACGATCAAATATTTGATCATATAAACATCCATTCTGTTTTGATCATCTTTTTGCGATAGATAATGAAATAATGCAATACACTACTAAATCTGTTGCACGTCGCATGCCAATCACTTACATAGGCTGACGATCAATCAAGTCATTGCATTCTAATTAAACTTTGAACAGTCAATAATGCATTGAATACAATGAAAGCTAGTGTATATCATTCATTGTAGTTTATTTGGCGTCGTCAGTTCATCGCTGTCTATTCATTTTAATGCTTTGTTCAACCTATTCATTGAAATGAATTGACATTGTCTCATCTCGGTTCGTCTAACGATGACGATGACTAATATTGAGAAACAAATGATAGAATTATGAAGAAATTTTTAAAAAGTCGAATCGTTGGGATCAAATTCGACTCGACTCAACTCGACAGTAGATCTGACTGGACTCGACTCGACACATTTCTCAAACTTCGCACTCGGGCTCGACTCGACTCGGCGTGAACTGAGTCGAGTCGAGTCGATTTGTCGAGTACTCGACTCGTTTTCGGTCTCTGTTGTCTTACTGCACTCTGATCGTAAGCATCAGCCAACCCTTAATGTCATGATGTTCGCTACAGCTTTCCATTCAATATTGTCATCATCTAACGAAGGTCATATCTCGATTATTTTGTAGAATCTATTGTCGCACACCCTCTCATTCGGAAACCCAATGATGCAGTCATCTTCAGTAAGGGTTTGTTGAGAAACCAGTTCGAAATAATGAAGAACAGTCTGAGGTGTTCAACATTTCCATCAACTACTAGAAGATCCTGATTTTAAATCTCGTAGCAAGAGCTCAAACTAGTTTCGATCAGTTCATCTGAAAATTCTAGTAATATATTTTCATGGACTTCAAAAACTTCTGACGGAGTTTTAAATACTATAGCTCCACACAGAGGCGTGACAAAGGCATCGGAGGAGCTTACCATTGCAAACCTTGCCATTTGTGAAACTTGTAATATTATGCAGTGAGTTTCGGACCCAAGAAACTTAGTATATATAGCTACTATTAGAGGTTAAAAAGGCAAGGATATATCATTCAAACACGTAACGGAAACTAAACATTTTCTTCGACGGCATTTCACTTTCACTTGTTAAACAAATGATAACCAGGACATCGATGTACATGAAACTCTATCGTACTAGTCATTTTAGATTTAGTGATAACACAAGACTCTTCTTGAGTTAGAACACTCTAGATGATGCTAAGGAACGGTTGATCGATGAAGCAAAATTTGTATGACATCAGCAATATGATTTTCAAGCCAAATCCTTTGTAAGAAAGAAGTGCTTTGCGCTAACCTATACTGTTTGTTGTCTGTGGAACAAGTTTAAAAAAGTGTCATCGAAGAAAATCTTGCTTACCGTTTCATGTTGGAATGGTTTATGCTTGGGTATGGGTGGCGGAAAAGAAGAATAAAAACAACTACACTAACACCTACATCTGTGATTCGAAAACAATGCTACATAGGTTTAGTAGTACTACTTAAGAATAGAAAAATTCGCTGGATACTGACAATGAACAAGATTTTCTGAAGACAATGCAATCTCAGAAAACTTACGTTTCCTGATTGAATTCGTGCCAAATTTTTCGTGCTAACGAGCAGAAAAATGGTGTAATGATTCGAAGTTATCCTATGCACAAAAAATGAAAGCGTTATGTTGTTTATACACATCGAAAAAATAAGTTTGGCTTGTGTGCATTCATCCATATACGTAACATATACTATTGATATAACTTTTTTTCATACCTATCTTATCGTTCTTCTGCTTGTTCTCTTTCTCACCTCGCGAACAACTTAATCAACGAAGAGAGAGTGAATCAAATGATGGTAGAAATGTGCACATTAGCACGGTTTGCTTTCTCTTTTTTCCCCATCGTTTTACAGGATAGATAAGTATTAAGGGTTCAGAAGAAATAGCAAGGGGGAAACGGCAGACTTGAAGTTCATCAAAGTACTTTAAAATTATATGAGAGTACTTTGAAAAACACTTTAAAATTACAAAAGAGCACTTTAAAGTAGCTCGAAGTGCGTTTAAGTAGTGTAAATTACCTTCAAGTACAAAGTCTGCCGTTTCTCCCTTGAGAAATAGCATGCTGCTTGATACCGTTGGCCCAGGCAGAGCCTGACTTCAAACGTCCCTTCTACATATGCTAGGACACCAACGTTTTTTATACTAATGCTGAGAACGATTGCGGCGTAGATGTGGAGGCGGTTTCCAGTCTAAAGAAGAAAATATTCCCACCCACACCCATTTCTCACATCCTCATCCACACCCATATATTTCGAATTCATATTTTTTTATCATAAAAATATTCATTATTCAAATTTATGATTCAATTTATGGTAAGAACTATTGATATTAAAAATCTATGCCACTTTTATTCTTCTTTTGTAATTTTCTGTGTTGTTGATTATTTTTTCCTTTTTTAATACTTTTAATTTTTTTTTGCTTAAAATTATAATGCAGAGTCCTGATGAGTGGTTTTTATTTAAAATAAAGAACACGAAACGCGTCGGTAAATTAAACTCTGCATTTCTTTAATGAATTTTTTATATAGAGTACAATAACATGTTCTTTTAACACATTCATTTAACTTCGATAAAACAATCGATAGCTGAAAAGCAAGAATTGAGAAGAGCAAATTGACTTTGTCTCTTTTTCAATATAGATAGGTCAGTCTGTTTTTCATTTGATTTATTCAAAAGCAATATGGATTATTATGTGTTAATCCAAATGAAGTTGAATTCGTATATGTATATTATTTGTTAAAAGCTCATAAATTGAAAACTACGTTAAGATTTCATAAAACCGATAATTCCATTTTTCTAAAGCCATTTGAACTTATACTTGCATATTATCTTCAATATGAGCACAATTATACGTGAAGAATATCTTAGATCGTTTCAAACTATACTAATTGCGATAATGATTTTTTCCTGATAAGATGACACAGATAGCAGTAAGAATAAAAATATTTGATCTCCTCAGAAATAAGTCATAAGTACTAACCCTTTTTATGAGGGACATAGTTCAGTAAGGTTTACAAGATACATTATATGTCAGATGAAAAGCGAATTGATACCTGAGAATGTTCCTTCCTCAGGTAGACATGTCAAGTGTCAATTTGATTTTAGATACGCTAGTAGAACAAGATGAATGAACTGTCCTGTAAGACATGTGAAGGTTTTTATAGTGATCAAGAAACAGAAGATGAAAGATGAACGCATACCAACATGAAAAATAAGCAATAGAGTGTTAGCGAAAAAGTAAAGAACGAAGAATATCTAATATAGAGACATAAATAAGTCCAAGTGGGCTCCTAACAATCAAATATTATTGTCGAGAAGCTGTTATTTATTGGAGACTCTTCATGTATCGTATTTTTTACCGGTATCGAGAGGCGAAGAAGACATATTACTTTCACAATTTCAGTTTATTAGGAGTTGTGTTGATAGTTTTTTTTTCTAATGAATTTTCGCATATAAATAGCTGAAAACGTCGGTATCAGTAAACCACAACTAATATAAATAGGCCAGTTCATTTCTGATTTGTATTTGTAAATTATATTCGAACTTAGAACTTGAAAGTTTTTGTCAAGAAAAAGGCCAATTGTAATAATATTTAGAAAAAGATACACGAGCATATGCTGACACATAATATGATATGTTTCTTTACCAATCTTAAGTAAAATATCATTATCATCAATATGTTTTGAGACACATTTTGCAAGAAACATAAACATATAGATGCCAATAATAGATGTTAAAATAGGTAACCAAATTGGTGCAGATGAAAATTCAGCATTGAAATGGTGAAAGTAAATATTATTGTTATGATAATAGTCCAACTGACATATAATAATAAATGCTAAACAAAAATTTATTCCTGTAAATAATAATTTCTGATATTTTTCAATATGTGCACGGTAAATTATTCCACAAAAAAGAAATAATAAACTAAATGACGTTCGAATAAAAATACGCTTAAATAGACTATGTTGAAGATAATTGAAAGTATTTTGTAGTGTTGTAGGACGAGGTGATGTATATGACCACTTAATATTAACTAATGTTATTAACAAAAAGCAAACAAAATAAACAAAATCAATTTTCTTATCATTACTCTTGTTATTGTAGATAAATTGCATAAAGATTAGTATAAGCCACAAATCTGTTATAAACCAACTTGTAACAAAAACAATAGAATTACCACCGAATAATGGTTTGAGAAGTAGAACAATTGGATATTGTAATAAATCCAAATCCCAATAAGTTGTTGTCAAATTAATTGATAAACATACTTGTAAAAAGTAACAAATAATTGTAAACGAGAGTTGATATAAAAAATAAGGCCACATCAGCTCTTTAGTCTTCTGTGCACAATAAATTAATTTCATACGAAATCCATCAATTGATTTGAAAAAATAACCAGAAATAAAGAAAAATAATGATAATAGAAATGACCCAATAGGATAATGAAATATCTTTGGTACGTAGTAATGAACACTGAGAACATATATAATACCTATTGTTTTTAGCAAATCCATTTCTTTATTTCTCATTTTTAATCAGAATCTATAAAAGAAAAAAAAGCTGATATTATGTGTCTGCATTTGAATTCTTTTCCATTGGATTTTAGTAAGTACGCAAACACTTAGTGTAACGAATTTAAGCAAAAGTGATTTGTCATTATGTTATCTACATGTCTTGTGTTTACCAAATTAAACACCACAAACATTTTAGAGTTGTACACATTGAACTCTCCAGTTCTCACATTGCTTTTTATGTACTCAGAAAGTGAGTACACTATAGGATCGGTCAGTGTGTCCGGCCGACCGGCCGTTTACACGATAATTCTTCAAAAGATAGTCCGATTGTGATGAAATTTTGTACACAGAATCGTCTCATCAATATCTCGGTCGAGTTCAAAGATGAAAATGATTCGTCAAGAGCTTGCTGAGTTATCGCAAAAATATCATGATTTCCTATGCTTTTCTATGCGAACATTGACCTATCCTCGTTTTCGTAAAACAACTTTTTCTCTAATAATTAAACAAAACCTTAGAGATTATATACCATTCGATAGAGAATATTACGAGCTACTAAATGGTATATAAAACATTAAGAAACAAGAAGGCTAAGTCACCTATTGCAAAGATACTGAAACGGAAATTGCTTCTGTGTTTTTACTTTTTGAAGTACACATAACACTCGAATTTAAATCTGACGTTTCCACAGTTTTTCTTCTCTTTTCGTTCTTTATATATCTATCGGAAGACCACCAGAAGGATTAATGCAAGGAAAACATGATGATAAAAGAATATAATATAACTAATCGATCGTGTTTCTCATCTTTTCATAAGCCATGGACAAGTGGATAGAGCAAAGATACATCCAAATTCGATGTAAATATGATTATATATCAGTATAATATCCAAAACGAATGGGACACTCATGTAGTAGCTAGTTATAGGACACATAAAAATTGCTCGAAGAGATGGATAGAGAAAAAATTATTTATTCTTAATCAATCAGCGGTGTAATCAGGATTTTTAGACCAATGGGCAAACTTCTCTTGTGTCGAAAAAGACCGATGGGCAGAATAGGCAACGTTTTTATTAATAGGCCAAAACGTTTTTGATCTAACAAAGTACTAATAACGTAAAAATAGCATGCATAAGTGAATGTGAAGAACTCTCCCAATATGTATCTGTGCAGCACACATGGACATTTTCCTTTATGTTTTCACAAATAGGTCATTGGATTTTTCCTTTCTCTTCTGTGCGTCACTCTATATGTATATATATCTACACATATATATGTTCGTGTGTATTCTCTTGATCTGTACTCTTGTTTTTCTTCTCTATGATCTATCCTTCTCTACCTTTACGTGGTTAGTGCTTTCCCAATAAAATCGAACTCATGTTCACCCAAACATACAGTTAAAATCAGAGTTGCCAGATCTTCTGAAAAGTCATGAAAGTTTCTGAAATTTGAACATTTTCCTGATTTTTTTCTGGCCTTCTGATTTTAAGTACTTTTTTCCGATTTATTGTCGATTTCAAACGTTTTTAGATGGTGGCTCTACTAGCGAAATTAATTACGACTATAATTCATTAATATTATAGATCCGTATTGCGCTATCTTCTTTCCTTCCTCAATCTTTTATAGTTTCTGAGTTCTGCAACTACTGAGGAATACGTCAATGTGTCAGTAAATTTTTGCGTTGCTGAACTTAAGAATGAATGCTAGTTATGTTTTTGAACAATTTTGTAAACATATTTTAGCTCAAAAACATTTATGGAAAGAATTTCAAACAAAGAAAAACTTGAAAAATAATATGGAATTTATGTTCTATAAACTTTATTATTTTCCGTAAGATTTTTTGATCCGCATTGTTTATATATTATTTGTTTGCGCATATTTTGCGTAAGCAGAGTTGTGGGCTTCATAAAAGATTCTGACACTAGGTGATTTTTGCTAGCTTTTTTTGTATTAACTAACAATTGAAGGCCATGTAACTGCAAATTAAGGAGATTGTTCATAGCCAAAGCAAATGAATGCTCTCACTCACAGATCAACTAGTTTGAAACATGAGTTGCCAATAGCTTAAACAGACCGAAATGTTTAAATTTCAAGATATTTACAGTTTGTTATAGGCCAACGCTACGAAATTTCATCAACCTTTCGTTTTTTTTCGTCATAATTGAATGGAACACGACTATTTACATAAGGAGAAACAATATCACACATATTCAAAACCAATTTGACAGCAGTTAAAATTTTTTGTTTATTACCCTTATAATTAAAAAAATGTTGTCTTAGAGTTCATACAATCTGCTTTTTAATATGCATGATAGTGTTATTTCTTATGTAAATGGTCGTGCTCCATCCAACCATGACGAACAAAGAAAAATTAGCGTTGATGAAATTTTGTAGTGGGGGCAATTAAAAAGCTGTCAATTTCTTGAAACTCGAATATCTCGGTCTGTGTACGCTCTTGACAACTCATTTTTTTAACTAGCCGGTTTGACAGTGAAAGTATTTATTTGATCCGACTATGATCAATCTTCTTAGCTTGCAGTACATGATCTTTTATTCTAAACTCTATAATGTTTCTATTGTCTTTCGTTACTATGAAATACTTTTGAAAATAAAATATGAGTCGATAAACAAAAAAAGTGAAGCATTTTATACAAGCATGTCAACATGATAGCCCTTGGTTTGCAAAAGGGATACTCTTTCTGATTAGTTTCCGATTTTGAAGAAAAAATTCTGAGTTTTTTCTGATTTTGAAAATAAGAATTTCTGATTTTTAAGTTTTTCATCTGGCAATTCTGATTAAAATATCCGAAGCCATTCTTTTCTTCTTCTTTTCTTAATTCTTCACAGAAAGAGCAAGCAAAGAGTGCATGTGTGATTCAGACGGAAGAAACAAAATGTGGTTACTATCTAATTCAAAAATAAATAAACAATTCTGAAAAAGTAAAATTACAATGAGCAAATCTCCAAATGAAATGGGCAATTGCCCATTTGCCCCTCCCTTGGCTACGCCGCTGTAACCAGTAATTAAGTCATATTGAATATGTGCTACAGATGAGAGTTCACAACAGAGATATCAATTTAAATTTACTTTTAATTTAATTTATGCATAAATTAAATTATCTGATTTAAATTTCAAACAAATTCAACTTAAAATAAATTTAATTTATTTTAAGAGGGGGGGGGGGCGGAAGGAGGGGCCCTTAGAAACCAATTTTGTTATTTTTCGTCCGATTTCACCCAAATTTTTCGGAGGATATGAGTCTAGGATAGGACAGATTATGAGGGAAATATCTCCAAAACTCCAATAAAATAACGAATTATAGCCAATTTATTGGTCAAAAGTACTCTGTACGCGGGCAAGGTTTTCATAATACGGATACGAGCTAACATGTCTGGGCGATTTTTAGGTTGTAGAGTGCCCTTAGAGCTAGGTCGTGACAGGGCCCAATTTTTGAATTTTCCTTCTTCTGTTTTTCAAAAAAATCCTTTTTTCAAAAATTCTTGAATTCATGGCCAAAAAAATCATTGATCAGAACGAAAGATCTACGATTTTTATTTCAGTAAAAGAGAAATTCAAAAATCCGGCTCTGTGATGACCTAGCCCTACTTGTCTACTATACAATAATAAAAAATTAGCACTTCCATATCGAGTCGTTATGAAGAAAAGCCTGTCAGCGTAAACGGCCTGCTCGAAAAAACTGATTTTGAGAAAAACGAATAAAATTTTTGATGCAGTTAGCGTCTTTATTCGAAATAAATCTGCTGATTAGTCTAACATTTCCGTACTTCTCGTCAAGCTTTATTGATGGCATGTATGCGGATATATCCTAATACGGTTCCTTCTACATAGACGTCACTTCGAGTCACACAGGTTTTTATCAATTTTCTGGCTAATTCATGAAATAACATTTTATTTGATCGATGTATTTTACCATTAGTCACAGCTAGAGAGCTGAAACTTTCAGAACTAAAAAATCTTGATTAGTTCTATAAGTCATAAAAATTTTAGATCCATTGGTCAAATAAAAGTATGAAAAATATCATTAACACTGTATCCTTAGTTATTATGAAGCACCCTTTATGCCTCAGTAGCGCATTCTCAGAAAAAAATTCGCCAGAAAAAAAGTCCAATGTACATATTTTGGCAAACAAAATTATACTAGGTTGTAGTCCATTACAAGCACTATCAGAATATGTATAAATCTCAAAATCGAGTTTTTTTCGAAAAATTGACTTTTCTGAGGGGGGGGGGTGGGGAAGAGGCTTAAAATTAACTTCTTAACTCTTTATAACTTCTTAACTCTTTATAACTTCTTAAATTAAAAACTAAATTAAATTACCCTATTTGTTTATGAGCTATCGAGAGGTAGTCCGTAGAATTTTTTAAGGCCTATCTATGGATGGTCCCTGTAGCTGTTTACAGAATATCTAGGGATGATCTCTATAGCTTATTAAGACCTTCCATCAAATGGTCTTCACAATCCTTCAGTAGCTATCCAGTGCTGGTCACCATAATGCTTTACGCGCTATTTAGAAGTGATCATCAGAACTCTTTAGAGGTTATCGGGGGGTGATGCCCTAAATCTTTAGGGGTTATATAAGGGCGGTGCCTATAACTTTTTGAGAGCTACCAAGGAGAGACCTCGCAGGATTTATGGAGACCACTTCTAGACGTCCCCTAAAGAGCTACGAAGCTCCACCGATATAGATCCTAGTAAGGTATGAAGAGTATCCCTAAATAGCTCTCGAAAGTTATACAGTTCTCGCCTATAAAGCTTAGGAAGAAATAGAATAATTTTCTTTGATCGTTTTATATAATAAATTATAAAAAGCAAATAAGTTAAATTTAAAATAAATTAAAGAACCGGGTGGATAAGGATCATTTTTGGGCCATCTTTAATTCCTATCAATTTATGACTTATATAATGCAGAATTTCACCGGAAATCGTTTAGTAACGGAATAAACCTATTTCTGAAGGATTCAGACTCTTATTTGCTCAAAATATTATACTCACTTTTGTGCCATAAATCGATGATGCATATATAGACGGGTGCCGCAGGTAGGTTTTCCCATCATAAGACATTTTGAACCGAAAACTAGTTCAGTCGACTACTCGTTTTGGAGTCTATCTCTAATAAAATTTTCGGCTCAAACGGTTAAAGTCTTAGT